TATACCAATCACACCAATGTAGCTTTCATACAGTCTAAATTGTTAAAATTTTTTGATTTAGTGGGATATAAGACTGCTGTGTTTATGTATAAAGCCAGGAACAATTTATTACCTGGTGGAATTCAAAAACTATTTAATGAAAGGGAAGGGGGATACAATTTAAGGGGTCAGTTAAATTTAAAAATTCATGCTATACGTACAACCAAAAAAAGATTTTGTATTTCGATAAGTGGGGTAAAACTATGGAATAATTTAAGTGTGGACATAAAAAATAGTAATAGAATTGATGAGTTTAAACATAAATATAAAGGTATGTGTCAATCAAGATATATGCAAGAACAGGCTTAATGATTAATTAGATGGATCATTGTGGGTGTGGTGTATGATTGTTAACACTCTGTAATAATTCTTTAGTATATTACTTGTGTGGTGTAAAAGAGAATTATTTATGTAGAGATACTGCTTGCAAACCAATGATGGTAAGATGATGTTATGGGGTAGGACTGGATAAGTCTGACTTCTTCCTACTCCATTCAAGCATGTACTAGGTATAAGCAAATTGATATTGGATTAGCATTTGTTGGATATGTGTAAAATTATGTGTGTTGACATATCAACTGTCTTTACATGCTTGAAAGAATAAATCAAATCAAATCAAGTATATCTAAAGAAGAAACAAATTGCATGTCACCCTGGTCATTAGCACACGCAGTTCGGGGTTGATTTTTTTTCCCCACCAGGATGTTGGGATCACGGAGAAGAACGAAGGCAGGAAGAGTCAACGGAAGTTGTAGCCTAGTGTTGGTAGGCATTTTAATTAGCCTTGCTTTTCCCAGACACGGGGATAGCCAGGAGCAAAGATGGTGGCTTTGGGAACACAGAGCAGGAGAAGAGGACAGGAAACAAAAGGGAAAGAATTGGGGAGGAATAGAGAGAAAGAGAGGGGTGAGGGTTGCACGGCCAGGGACTACATTCCCTGTGCCAGATCTAAATGTGCAGCACCAAATAAAACATCCTCCCAGAAGACCATGGGTTGCTGTGTCTGGTGGGATGCTACAAATACACATGCATGCGTGCACATACACATACCAAATCACTCCCATCTGTCTTATCTTGCACATTTTTTGCCAATCTTTATATAAAACTTGGAATTTGGAAGAATGAACTTAGGAATCCATCCTTTAAATGAAGAGACAAAAAGTTCCCATGCTGGGATAAATTCTTCAAAATTGCTCTCAGTGGACTTCCCACACGTGTGATTAAAAACCAGATGGGATGTCCTGTCAGTGAAGCTGACCTTCTCCACCTTCTACTTTATCCTCTGCATCCACTCTGCCTCCTCCTGTTGTTGTTTGCTGTGTCTTGTTGCTTTTCTTCTTTTGTCTCTCCTCTATCCACTCACCCCAACCAGTCAAGGCAGAAGGCCGCCCACCAAGAGCCGGGGTCTGTCGGAGGTTTCTTCCATTAAAGGGAGTTTGTCCTCCCCGCTGTCGCCAAGTGCTTACTTAAGGGGGATTTGTTGAGTTTTTCCTTTATAATAATAATAATAGTAAGGTCCAGGCCTTACTATGTAAATTGCCCTGAGATGATTTTTGTTGTGATTTGGTGCTATACAAATAAAACTGAATTGAAATGAACTGAATCCTCAACTAGCCCTGTTTGTCTGGACAAAAAAAAAAAAAAGCCCAGAAGTCCAAAACATATTCCACTGTGGGAGTAGCTGGGAGCTGTATTAGAGCCAAAGGGATGGAGGAGCAGCCGGGTTCATTCATCTGCCTGAGTCACAGCTACTGCTGATTTCCTCCTCTCATGGACCACTTCTATTTTGTGCTGAATAAAAGTGACAACAGGCACAAACATAGCTAAAACTCCAGTACAAGTGGACAGAGGGATTTGGCAGGGAAGTCAAATGAGTGACTCACAACAATAACTATAAAAAGCTGCAACATCTCTCAAGTTGTTTAGTTTGAAAAGTGACTAAAATATCAGCTGCATCAAGAAAGTAACTTGAAGAATGAAACTGTGATCTGAGAAAAATGACTGAGACGAAGGTCAGGACTGCTTCAAGAGTCAGCAGTTTTAAAATTACAGAGCCAAAATGCATAACTAGTAATACATGCTACATACAAGCAGTTACACTTACAAGAGTGTATAAAAATAATACAACTTCTGATCTTACTCATGAGTGGGCAGATATTTGTGGTTTTTTTGTGAAATCCATCACTTGTTTCACTGAGCTACAAACCCCAAACTTGTATTAAAGTGATGAAGGTGTATGTGTGAATGGAGAGAAGCATGTTAAACTCAATCTGAGCGAGTTGGGGGCACATTCCTTAGATGATTTAGTTAGCATTAAGGTGAAGAGGAATGCATCAAAGCTGTAGCAGCTTTAGCTCACTATGGTGTACACCGACTGGGAGGAGCCTCATGGCTTTCTGACGGATCGGACTGATTGTGGACTGCCACCTGGCTTAATGTGCAAAGGAAGAAAAGCAGAGAAGAGTGAGGAAAGCCAGACAGAGCAGAGAAGAGGGAGGTTGGGATGGAGATGTGGCACCTGTGGGAAGAAATGTGAAAAGTGTGATTGAAGAAGACAGTTTGCACTTTAGAGGAAGAAAAGAGAGATGGATGGCAACATAACATCTAGGGAAGGCGGGGTGTAGGCTAAAA